ATCTAATCTCGTTTATTAAGTTTGCATTACATTGCGCATAGGCCCTACAGGAGAAATAGTAATATGTAGACTATTTCGCTGGATCCACTTCAATCCTTCGAAAAAGTACATGCACCGGAAGTCGGGTCGCGTCAGCCTATCAAAAGCCTCCTTCAATAAGTCTCAGCGCCTGGATAAGAGGAGGCTTGTGTGGTTGAAGTGGAACTAGCGAAATAGTCAATTGCCAAATAAGGACGTACGAAAGTGGCATTATCCGAAGTGCGGCGAGAGGACAGGGAGACGCTTTAAACCGGAAATGGAGCAGATCAGACGAGCCCGGTTATAGGGGACGTCTATCAAATACGTTACGCAGTGTGAAGGTGGGGGTTTAAGTACTAATTGATCCAGGAAGCGTCAGAAATGAATCATACGACTTATCCGAATCGAATTTTTATCCTATTATATTGCCTATGAATTGTTTACATCATTGCACCAAATTATCTGACTCAATTCCCAGCAGTTGTGGGGAAAAAATTCACTCCGAAGAAAGGTCTAACGCAACTGGACCCCTTTTACGCTCTCAGTGTGCCTGAAAATGGAAACAACTCAACCGAAGTCAACTTGACTCCGTTGAAAATAGTGCCGATGGGAGGTGACTCAACTTGTTTTTATATGAATCTATTGTAAATAATCAAGTTATCTTACCTCCCCCCCTCTTTTATTTTGAAAAATAAATTGGAAAAGGAACGAATTAAAGCAAATATATTATTCCTACAGAAACTAACGTCTTTTGCTGACTACATTTCCACTTGAATTCACTCTCATTCCAGGAACGTGACATTACGTTGAAACGAACGTGACAAAATGTCACGTTCGTTCGAGCATTGTGTCACAGTCGTTTGGGTGTGAATTAGCCAAAAATCAGCCTGTCCACATTCAAACGAACATGACACAATGCTCAAACGAACGTGACATTTTGTCACGTTCCTTTCAACGTGATGTCACGTTCCTAGAATGATAGTTTTGTCTTTAAACTCCATTTCGTTTAGGAAATGTAAGTTGGATTTCTTTTTAAACGGGAAGCGATAAGTGACAGTAATCCTTCCACGGAGTGGAGGATTACTCCACTTTTGTTGTTTATCTTAAAATACAATTAATGCTTCCTGAACTTGGTATCACCTATAGCATTCGTTCAGTTTTAGTTGCCCCTGCCAACAGTTTTTTCATCCCCTGAGAAATTGCTAAAATCGTGTTATCCCTTTTCCGCTTCGTGGATCAATGGCGCACCGGCGCTCTTTCCGTTTTTTCTCTTAAAGTGCTCCTAACGCCACGAAGGGTCTGGCGCTTTCTAAAATATAGTACTACTGAGCTTCATTGTATTGAGTTAACAATCACTTTTATCCACCTTAACGTCAAATTTGTTAAAATTTAACTAAATTCTCGGAAATTTTGAATTACTGAAGTATAAAATTATAACGCACGTATTCGTTTTGGAGTTTTTCGTTATTTTTGGTATGAGTGATGCATGGAAAAAAATTTATCTGCTCTGGAAACTCAAATGTGTGCATGTCTTTTTCTTAAAAGTGTATGCCAACACTGTTGGAAATTAGGTTCGAAATTTAATGGTGAAAAACTCTATAATCACGTTCATGGAGACTCCATTCGTTTTCCATCTCTTACCGGAGAGATTTTTTCAGGGCTTAGATAATGTTCTTCGGAGCATTACTTGGGTCCTGATGGGAGGTAAAATGCATGTCTTTTCTCAGATATGTTAAAGAGGGCTTTGCCGAAGCATTCTTTAGTCTAAAATGGCCAAAGAAGGGAGAATCTCCGTCGAGCTCATTTGACTTATATCCTGGCGGTTTCCTTTAATATTATGAAAACTGAGCTAAACAAGAAAGGGTTCACCTTTCCCTCATTTGTAACCGGTTACAAATATTGTTTTCGTGATTTCCTGATAGTGAAGCATGCATTTCTGTTCAAAATTCCGAAACTTTACGGAGAAAGCCCAGAGCTTGCCTTTATGGTGAGCTCCATGCAGAAGTTTCGGAAAAACCATGATTTTTCCAATTTTTTTTTTTTCGGAAATTTCTGACAGTGTACAGGAACACTGTTCCAAAGTGTGTGCCGGCAGGCACACTGTTTTAAACACTCTACTGTACAAACTGAAGTGTGTACAGTTTGTAGAGCAGTGTGCTAGCCAGGCACACACTTGGGAACAGCGACACTGCATGGGTCCTTAGACCAGCTCTTATTTTGCGAAAGTGAGAATTCCGCTGGGTTCCCTGACTCAAAATGACCGAAATGGTGAGAAAACTCTTAATTTGAAAGCCCAAGGTCGTGAGACTTACCAAAGCCGTGCCCCAAGACCCTTTTAAAAGGCAAAAAGCCAGATTTTTTTTTTTCGGATTTTCACTAAACTAAGTTTGACGCTAGGGTAAACAGGCCATAATACGACCCTTTGGGCGAAAATTTCGTCCGTTTTGCGATATCTCGACTCCTTCATGCCCAAGCGGCCTCCCCAACCGCCCGCGCGGCGTCTTTTTTATGCTCGCGGTTGGGGAGGCCGTTTGGGCATAAAGGAGTCGAGATATCGCAAAACGGACGACATTTTCGCCCAAAGGGTCGTATTATGACCTGTTTACCCTAGAGTCAAACTTAGTTTGGTAAAAGTCCGAAAAAAAAAAAAATTGGCTTTTTGCCTTTATATAGGGTTTTGGGGCACGGCTTTGGTAAGTCTGACGACCTTGGGCTTTCAAATTAAGAATTTTCTCACCATTTCGGTCATTTTGAGTCGGGGAACCCAGCGGAATTCTCACTTCCGCAAAATAAGAGCTGGTCTAATGGGTCCTGGACACACAGTTAGAAACTGTATACAGATTGCGTCGAGGCATACATTTTAAAGTTTGCGTTTGCAGAGTGTACACATTCGTAATTTTAGGATGAATGTTCCGACAATTAATCGTTATTTTACGAAAAACTTGTTGAGTGTAGCTGCTTTTGAGCTGATGTTGATTATTTTATTATATTCACGAACAATTCGTATAAATACCCTTCCGGGCGATTCGTAAGATTTACGAAGTATTTGTCCTTAAGTTACGAAAACTTTTTTCAGTGCTATCTAAGCGCACTATCTTTTTTTTCTATTCAAAGATCATACATCTCATTTCGACACAACCTGCCCGCACTCTCAATCCAGGAACGTGACATCACGTTGAAACGAACGTGACAGAAAGTCACGTTCCTTTGAGCATTGTCACATTCGTTGGCCGCATTTGCCGAATATCAGCTTGTTCACATTTAAACGAACGTGAAATTTCGTCACGTTCGTTTCAACGTGATGTCATGTTCCTAGAATGAGAGTGCGTTCTTTGACTCGTATATCACGCAGCGTTTAGATTAACATCTTATTGCAAACATCGACTTTCTGCTGTTTCAGCCTCGAAGTGACAATTTGTTCCTTTGATTTTTTCTCCCCTTTTAAAGTATTTTAATGAGACGTTAGATGTACTTTTTTTCTCTTGAGCTTCACAAGAACATTGTTAATTTTATAGAGGATTTAAACCTTATTATTTGACATTGTATATATACGTTTATATGTGTCACATTTACAATTTTATTCTTAAAACCGTCAAAACTGTGTATAGCCAAAAAGAAAATAGTACATTTAACTTCGTTTAAAGTACTTAAACATGAGAGGAAAAGTCATACGAAGATGAGAGTGCATGTGTTACTTTGTGTTTTGATCCAAGGACGGTTCATGTCCTTTCCATGTATTTTAAACGCTTTTCTTTCGTCATGAAAGCCGAAGAGTTTTTTCTGAGCGTCAACGTCGCACTTTGTGAAAACAATTATGCAGTTGAGAAACTAACGTCTCGTTACCACTTTGCTAACATGCATGTCCATAATCATTCGGATATTTATCCGTTTTAAAAAAACTTTAGGCCTCAATCTGTTCTGTCTATGAAGTGAACAGGATAATAAATACTTTACTTGCTGTTATGTATTTGTTCTAGGTAAGTTCTTCTCAATATGCCGCGAAAGGGAAAGAAGAGTGACGCTGCGCGCCGCGCCCAGAATGCTGCACAGACAGCTGCTGCCAGGGCTGCGGAGCCTGAGGACAAGGGCAAGGCTCGTCGCCTTGCCAACGCTTCGAGGGAAGCTGCAAGAAGAGCTGCGGAGAGACCTGAAGAGAGAGAGGCTCGCCGCGCCGTGAATGCTGCACGGGAAGCCGCCCGACGAGCTGCAGAGGAGGGCGCAGAGAGAGAGGCTCGCCGTGCCGCCGATTCTACTCGAGCAGCCGCAAGAAGAGCTGCAGAACGAGAAGCAGCGAGAGAGGCTCGTCGCATCGGCGATGCTGCTCGAGCAGCAGCGAGAAGAGCTGCAGAAGAAGAGGAAGCAAGAGAGGCTCGTCACATCGCCGATGCTGCTCGAGCAGCAGCGAGAAGAGCTGCAGAAGAAGAGGAAGCAAGAGAGGCTCGTCACATCGCCGATGCTGCTCGAGCAGCAGCGAGAAGAGTTGCAGGAGAAGAGGAAGCGAGAGAGGCTCGTCGCATCGGCGATGCTGCTCGAGCAGCAGCGAGAAGAGTTGCAGAAGAAGAGGAAGCGAGAGAGGCTCGTCGCATCGGCGATGCTGCTCGAACAGCAGCGAGAAGAGTTGCAGAAGAAGAGGAAGCGAGAGAGGCTCGCCGCGTCGCCGATGCTGTTCGAGCAGCAGCGAGAAGAGCTGCAGAAGAAGAAGAAGCGAGAGAGGCTCGTCGCCAGTCAGACGTTGAGAGGCACCGCGCAGCACGTTCTGAAGAGTCAGCAGAACAACGCCAGGCGCGGCTCGACCTCGACAATGTCCGTCACCTTCGTTCCCGCGTTGTCAACGTCAACTCCGATCCTGCGGAGCCCAGGGTGCGTGGCGCTCGACCGGAGGCACTGCCTCCTTGGCAAGTCTTCGAGCACGCCATGCAGGGCCTACACTGGGACTACTGCGACAGCTGCAACGTGAGGAGGATGGAGTTCGTGAACAAGCCTTGCCCCAGGCGAACATGCGCCAAGTTCTCGCAGGACTTCATGGACCCCGGTGTGGTGCCCCCGGAGCTCGAGCGGCTCTCCTTCGTGGAGGCCCAACTCATCGCGCGAATCCACCCCGTCGTGTCCGTCTACAAGATCCGAGGCCACCAGTTCGGATACCGAGGAAACGTCATCAACTTCCCCCAGGAAGTCAACGACTTGGCGCGCGCACTTCCCCACCGCATCCAGGACCTCTCCTCCATCATCGCCGTGCGCCAGCAGAGGGCCGACGGCCACGTGGACTTCCGAGTGCGCGCCGGCGTGGTGCGGCAGGCTCTGCTGTGGCTGCGCGACAACAACCCGTACTACGCCAACGTCGACGTCAGCGAGGGCAACCTGGCCCTTCTCCCGGAGGACGGTGACGCCTACCAGGTCGTGCAGGGCTACGCCGCCCAGGAAGAGGACCCTGACGACCCGCATGAGGAGTCCAGCGTGGACCACGTCGACGTGGACGACATCGCCGTGTCTGGAGTGCCGATGCTTCAGCCGCACCGCCAAGAAGACCAGGTGCACGCCGTACTCAACTACCCCACTCGCGGCACCGACCCGGTCAGCGAGGCGACGGCGGGGTACGTCGTCATGGCCTTCCCCAAGCTCTTCCCGTTCGGCAGGGCGGACCTCTACGAGGCCCGGTCGCACGGCATCTCAGCACGGCAGTACTTCTCGCACTTGCTGCAGCACCGCTCGGGGCGGTTCGCCGACGACGCGCGGTTCCGCTTCTTCGCCTTCAACACCGTCATGCGCCACGACGCTCTCCGCGCGGGGAACCTCTACGTCCGCCGCAACGAGCACCTGCAAGGGAAGACCGTGCGCCAGCTGCGGGAAATGGTGCGGGAGTGCGCCGTGCTCGCCAAGAACATCATGTTCTACGGCACCAAGCTGCCGGCCACCCGGCAGTACTGGGGTGCGCGCCTCAGTGAGCTGCTGGACATGATAGACCAGATCGGTTTGCCCACGCTTTTCTTGACTTTGAGTGCCGCCGACTTCCACTGGCCTGACCTGTTTCGCCTCTTCCTGGCCTGCGAGGGGCTCTCAGTGGAAGAACGCGTTCTACTTGAAGAGCTGACCGAAGAACACCGCCGGAACTTCATTGCGAATCGGCCATTCGTGCCCAGCATGTTCTTCATGAAGAGGGCGGAACTCTTCCTCATCAAGATCTTGAAGATGATGTACCCTGTCACTGACATCTGGTTCCGTTACGAGTGGCAATTTCGCGGAAGTCCGCACGTGCATTGCCTCATCTGGCTTCGTGGGGCTCCAGACATGATGCGCGTCAAGGACATGACCCCCGAGGAGCTCACCGCCGCTGTGGAGTACTTCTCCAACATCGTGAGCTGCTTCAACTTCGGCCAGGGCCTTCCGCCTGCGGTGCAGCACCCTTGCCGCATCCGCCTTGGCGACATTCCCGCCGAGGACCGGGAGCGCGCCTTGGGGGAGCTTCTCAACCGCGTTCAACGCCACAAGTGCACCGCCAACTACTGCCTGCGGAAGGACAAGACTGGTGCGATCGTGTGCCGCTTCAAGTTCCCCTTCGAGTTGGCCGAAGAGAATTCCATCATTTTCGACGACAAAGGAGAGGCTAAGTTCATCGGGCGGCGAAATGACGAACTTATCAACGGCTTCATCATTGCAGTCATCGAGGCCTGGAGAGCTAACATGGACGCCAAGCCGGTCACCTCACACGATGGCTGCGTCAACTACCTGGCCAAGTACACCGCCAAGCCCGAGAACAAGTCGAAAACTATGCAGGAGCTTTTCGAGGACGCTCTGTCTGGACTTCAGGAAGAGGACAGCGCCAAGAAAGCCATCCAACGCCGCTGCATCCAGTCCGTCAGTGAGCGCGACTACTCTTCGCAGGAAATTCTTCACTTGGCCACTTCCCAGAAACTGTTCCGCTCCAGCAGGGCCTTCGTCAAGATTGTCTTTACAGACAGGAATTGGGTTCCGGTCGGACACAGCGCTCAAGACGAAGATGTGGCCGACGATGTTGAAGCCGACGATCCCGACAGCCCCAACGAGGATGCAGACGACGACCAAGATGGCGAACTTGTCCTAGAAGAGGAACTCCCTCGGGGCTCTATTCTGGACAAGTATCCGAAGAGACCAGCCAACCTCGAGAACATTACGCTGTGGGAGTTTGCCCGGGAGTTCCAGTTCAACAGGCAAACACGGAGGTAAGTTGCCATTTTTTTTACTCGTCTTTACACCGATTGTCGCGGGGATTGTCGCTTGTGTTAAATACCACGTTTTGCCTCGCTCTCGTTTTAACTTAAATCGAAACTTAGACAAACTGAAAATGAAACTTTTAAATCCTTGAACAGATCTCTCAAATTACGCGTGCTTTATTAAATAGAATACGAATGACCCCGTTCAAACAGTCTTTAATTTACGGCTTTCCAAACACACTAAGCGTAAGTGTAGAATTTTGTGTGCATACCTTGCAATTTTTTTTTGTATACGTGTATTAGCATATAATATTCTGCGGAAATGTGCACAAATTGATGCGAATTTGAGCAAAATTTAATGCAAAACGTTATCCAGGTATAAAATCATGCAATACCACGTACCAAATTGAACATGAACATTTAGCGGGACTTTCTAGACTTTTATTCTAGAGTAAATAACTCCAGTCAAATTTGTACACCAGATTTCATCAAACTTTTAAAATTTACTAAAGTTAATTAACATTCATCGAAATTCTATCAAAATTCATCAAATTTCGTCTGAAATTCATCAAATTTCGTCAGTTCATCAAATGTTTTCTGTACTTCATCGATTTTCGTCTGAAATTCTACGAATTCCGTCTGAAATTGACCGAAATTTGGCTGAAATTAATTGAAATTTGACTGAAAGTCATTGGATTTGCACACCGAAATTCACAGTGATTTACCCTTGCTTTTATTACACAAATTTGGTTACATTTTACTTGGTTGCGTTGCCAAGTAATAGTTCTTTTTACCATTAAGTTTTACTGTCGACGAATCTTTCCATCTGTATTTTATGGCTTGGACTAATAGGCAATGATACTAAATCAAACCTTTCAATCTGTTAAAGCCGCAATCTTCAAACAATAAATCGAAGAAGTGCAAAATTAACATATGTAAGAATATTGATCCAGACACTATAGATTTCATTTTTGCAAAATAGTCTCACCTTGAAACCAACTTACCAAAGGAAGGATTCTTACCAAACTCTGTCTTTACAGTAAAGCAGGGGAGCCGCATTTAAGTGATGTGTTGAATCGTGAGGTTTTATCTGGTTTTGCTGTTCTAGGTGGTACAGAAGAAGGAAGGTCGCCGTCGTCTGCGTCTTCCCCCGTCTCCGGCTCACGGGCAACGAGATCCGCGACGAGGGCTTCTACCGCCAGCAAGTGCTGCTTCACGTGCCGTGGCGTGACGAGGACGCTGTGCTCGGTGAGCACGCCAACTGGCACGAGGTCTACGCGCAGCATGACATCGTCCCGCGTGGGGGCCAGCCCGCGCCGCAGGTCAACGAGGACGACGAGCTCGAGGACCTGGACTTCCCCGAGGCTGAACCCGACGAGGAGTGGATGGTGATCGCCCGGCAGCACCCCAACCAGGACGTGCAGCGCATCGAGATTGGCCGAAGAGAGATGGACTTGGCGCACGACTGGGCTGCGGACGCTGCCACCTACGGGGACGTCGGTCAGTTGATGCACGCCGTGGAACTGAGTAAAGACCATCACGAGTTTGAAGCCGAAACCGCCGTGGCCCCCGACGTCCAGCTGACTGTGGAGCAGTCCGCCGTGATCCGCATCCTGGACCGCCAGATCGCCGCCGCGCAAGGAGCCGGTGGCCCGCCGCCGCCAATGCGAGTCATCGTGCAGGGCAAGGCTGGCTGCGGCAAGTCCACCGTTATCGCCGTCATGAAGTCCCGCATCGTGGCTGCCTTCGGCCCGCGCAGCTTCCTCCTGGTGGCGCCGACGGGGGCAGCGGCCGACAACATCGATGGCGAGACCATCCACAGCGCGCTGCTGCTCACCGTCCCCATGTCCGCATTCGCGCCCCTCACCGGTGAACGTGCTAAGATGTTCCAGGAATCCATGGAGCCAGTCCGCTTCCTCATTGTGGACGAGTACTCCATGATCGGCTTGCCCATCTTGGGCATGATGGAGCGCCGCTGCGCCGAAGGCAAGCCAGGCAGCAGCGAAACGTTCGGTGGGCTCTACGTGTACCTCATCGGCGACCTGGCCCAGCTGCCCCCCGTCCGCATGAAGCCCATCTTCTCCAACACTGGCTCCACCGCCATGGAACTGAACGGCCGGAGGGCATTCCAAGACTTCCGGCACGCCGTCGTGCTGCGGGAGTCCCAGCGCCAGTCCGACCCTTCCTTCCGCGCTGCGCTGGACGAGTTGGGTTTGGGCAAGTGCTCGGCCGAAGCCTTCGAGCGCTACCGGCAGCGCTTCTCCCACCGCGTGCCGCCAGCCGAGCAGCGCCTCTTCCGCGACGCCCTGCACATCTTCCCCATCAACAAGGGCGCGGCGGCGTACAACGTCAGCAGGCTGGAGCGCCTTGGCCGCCCCGTGGCCCGCATCCCGGCCAGGCACAACAACGCCACTGCGGCGGCTGCTCCCACCGCGACCGCAGGAGGACTTAGCGCCACCTTGCACTTGAGTGTTGGCTCCCGAGTGATGCTGAGGGCCAACCTGTGGACCCGAGCTGGACTTGTGAACGGCGCTTCAGGGACTGTTGCTGGTATTGTGTACTCCGAGGGCTCCAGGCCTCCAGACGTAGCTCCTGCTGTCATCATGGTGAAGTTCGACCGCTACTCGGGGCCTGCTCTAGCGGCAGACGGCTCCGTCCCCATCTGCACCATCATGCGGTCCTGGAAGGACGGCCAGACCATGTGTACCCGCGAACAGTTTCCCTTGAACTTGGCGTGGGGCTGCACCGTGCACGCCGCACAGGGACTCAG